TAGGTAGATACAACAATATTCCACTTGCATCTTCTTTGGGGAAGATTTTTGAAATTCAATGAATGCCGTGATATTAAAATTTTCTTTGAAATATATACAGGGTTATTTATTCAAAATGGTCAATGTGTGAGCTAGAAATAGTAAACATCAAAATATCAAGATTCAGCCTCACATCTCACATCTCACATAGAAAATGCTGTTAGTTTTGGAGAAACAGGGTGTACAAGGAAAATATTTAATTTTGAAATTCGTCATACAATAACTTTGTAAGTTCTATATCAGCATTAAAATGGTCAATGTGTGAGCTAGAAATAGTGATCATCAGAATATCAAGATGCAGCCTCACATCTCTCATAGAAAATGTTGTTAGTTTTGGAGAAACAGGTTGTTCAAGAAAAATATTTCATTTTAAAATTCCTCATACAATAACTTCGTAAGTTTTATATCAGCATGAACATAATTTTCTTATATTTTTTTCATTATAACTCGATTTTTAAATGATTTAAAAAAAGTTGACCATTTAAACAAAATGGATTGTGAGACATAGAAAGCATATGATGGCAAATCAACTTCTCACCGTTATGCCGAAGACCGAAACCAGGGAATCCTGGAAACTTTGGTACGATAATCATACTCACACTATACACTGTTTTATCACTATCAAACAGAATTTTTACCAACTCGACAAACTTTATTACCTAAAAACATTCGCTGTCTAAGATAGACTAACAAAAACTTTTGAGATGGTGTTCGCTTGAATCTCCTAATTTTGACAAATGATTCAAAATCTCCGACCCCTGAAGCACCAGTAAAAATTCCGAATAGAATCGGATAATAAAATTAGAAAACTTGTCCGCTATATTGGATCTGCAATCCTGAATTTCCCAATTTTGACGATAGAATCATAATCTCCGACCCCAAACACCCTTATATATATATATTTTGAATAGGATAGAATCATCATGACATAACTCGTCCGCCATATTGAATCCGTCATCTTGAATTTTTTCATTTCGGGATTCATAATCTCCGACCCCAAAAAACCCCAGATACAAATTTCAAATGGCATAGCATAGAATCATAATTACGAAACTCGTGCGCCATATCCCAATCAGCACAAGTACGTCTTATGGACATTTTAAAAACGTCCACTCTGGACATTCAGGACGTTTTGGGGACGTCTATTTCCGGACGACGGACGTCTTATGGACGTTTTGAGGACGTCCATTGTTACTAATCAGGATGTTTTGGGGACGTCCAGTGTAGGTCCAGACTAGGACCTTTTGGTATAAAAAATGGACGTATTGAGGACATTCAGACAATATTGATTATTGATTATCTGACCCATCTGAAGAGTGAAATACTTGAATATTAGTTGACATTTATTCGCAAACAATAATATGAACAGAGATTCAGGTAGTTGTTTCAATTTCACTCATCACTATCATATACCCAACAAACATTTTAGGTATAATATACGTCATTTCGACCTTAGAATAGGTCAACGACTTATTTGGCCTAAGGGAATATTACGTCTTATTTACTTCAAACTTACCAATATGGGGAAAAAACTGGAAGTAATTCAGAAGACGAGAATAGGGATATTAGGGTATCCTGACCAATAGGTCGAGGAAACAATTAGGTGAAATTGCCCTAATTCTAGTCCGATAGTGGTCTGATCTTAGTTATTCTGACGTTATTAATTACCTACTTATGGGTGGGTTCACTAAGATTTCTACCTGGTTTACTGTCATTTGGTTGGGTTCGGAAAACAAATATGTACCGTGTTTCACGATCGACTATACCTACTCATTTACGGAGACTTAGGAGTTTATGAACATGGCGTTCAAAAGAAAACTCGATAGTAGTGGAAGGTGTAGATAATATGCATGTTGTTTAGCTTATTTGAGGTTGTTGTGAATCGTTATTCAACCTGCGATGCAAAATTTATTGTGATAATGTTGATTTTACACATGTAAAATCAGTGGGCCCACGAAATTATTGGATTTGTAGAAAAATACTGGATGATATTCTTTGTGTTTTCGAATTATTTTTCAACAATTTCATCTAAAAATGAATCAACTGGTAGAATATGATCATATATGCGAAATTTAACCTTTTCTGTATTACTATTCATTAGGATGTGGTCGCTATGTAGAGATTTCTTCTTTTTCCGTCAATGGCGAAAAAGGTTCGAGCCAACAAATATGGCGTCGGTTTCATATTGGACTTGAAAGTCGAATTTTCCAGAATCTCCAACTTTCAGGGCGAATAGGCTTCGTTCATAGTCGAAAATTCTGTATATTCTGACTATGGAGCCCAATTTCCCCATATTGGGATTTTAGACTATATCAACGAGTATATTATTTGAGTAGCAGTCAACCTGATGGATTAATATTATCAGATGTTCGCTATAATCATATAATTTGTCAAATGTTAGTTGTTCGCTTTCAATTTCTTATTCTGCACCACGGTATGTTTTCTAATTGGTCGCTGGATGGCAGGCTTCATTTTCCAGCGAATCAGAAAAGTCCATCGCCGTGTTGTCATCTCTCGAACAGTGTTGCCGTTCTAGTGTACTTTTAGTACATTTGCCATTTTTGTACGTTCTCAACCGAAGTGTAATAATTGATACCTGTTTTTTTTTTATAAAAGTTAAGTGGAAGTAAAACTTCGAATGTCGAAACAAATCGATGGTTTAGATGATCAAACATCATCGTAATGTATAGAAAGATATCATGATTTGCTTTAGAAGCGTTCCAGCGGTAAGCTACCTTAACCACTCACTGGTGATAAAGAATAAAACATTCAAAACTCATACATTGCGCTTGTCTCCAGTTTTTAATATTTTCAGAAATTAATGGTCATTTCAAAACATTTGCCGACCTCAAAGCACCAGGATCAATAATAGTCATCAACTTTGAGAACATGATTTTAGGACTAATTTTGGTATTTTCGGCTCTCTCAAGGACACTTCGTTCTATAAGGATTTCATAGTGGTAATCTTGCCTTCATCGGATATGAAGTTGGTACTGATTAGGTTAAAAAAAGTCTAAGAAACTCCTTCGTCTCAATTGGTCAAAAATAGGCAAAACAGAGTATAAATCAGACTTATTTTCTCCACCTGATTATTCCCTGACTTTATGATCGTTTATGAAGTTAGAATTTGGTAAATTTCAACTCCAATAAATATCCTGATAGTTCGAGGGCCTGGAAGACATTTTACTGGTAATTTTGATGTTAAATATCACCTAATTGATAACTAAATGCTCACTAGGACCATGAAGTTATATTTGAAGTCTGTAATGAGTAGTTTCCAACTATGCAATTTGTCTATAAAGTCGATGGTTTTTATAGAAAATGTTGAGGTCCTAACCAGGCATTTTACAACCTAATCCATAACTTTCAAGTTACTCAGGGCATAAAGGTAAAATATTTTGTCGGAAATTAGTAAATTCCGACTTCTTCGAGTAATTTCTCCTCTCTGCTTGGTATAATTCTCTTAAAATGTTGGTTGGGTATCAGCAGCTGCACCACTGAAAACGTCGCGTGATTCATCCAGGTACGCAGGCGCGATGATGTCTTTTTCTGATTGGCAGCCTTATTCTGTTGTCTTCTTCACTGGATCTGTAAATAATAATAATATTCAGTAACATCTTCTGTGAATACCATAAACCATAAACACACACCCACTTTCAACGTGTAGTAGTCAGTATAGCGCAATACTTGAATACTTAGTAGGTAGTCCCGGTCTTGAAACCAGCCCCTCCCCTCCACTTTTCTCCAAACCACGTGACTCGGCCGACCAATCACAGGCCGGCCTGACTCGGCTAGCTACTCGCGGCCCAGCGAACGGGTCGTCATCATCGGTTGGACTGCGATAGATCCGTTCTAGAGATAACGATGCGCATTTTATTCCATTTTTCAACAACGGTTATATACAGGGTGTTTGAGTTGGGTAATAGTTTGAAAAAAAAATATAGGGTGAACCCAAAAGGCGTTATACCTCTCCGACCTACATATAAAGGCTACCCGCTATAACATGATATATACAGGGCGTTTGAGTTGGATAACAGTCAAAAAATATACTGGACGCCTCACCCACTTTTGCGGGATTAGACAGCTGACGTATTACATAAGACAAAGGATTGATGACACGACGTGACTAGATGACCTGCAAGTACCGCTACCTAATAATTTAATATACAGGATGTTTGAGTTAGCTATAGCGATAAGAAATAGGGCGTCTCACAGGTAGACTCAGCAAAACATACGTATGATAGAGTATCCGTTTGATATACAGCAATAATAGCAATACAAACTCACATAGGGCACTCATGGCCTGGCGTTTGACATTTGACAGATGACCAAAAAAAAACGCTATCATACATCAATACTAGACAAAGCTCTTTGAGGTTATGTTCCATTTCAGACATTCGGTATAGCAAATTTATTTATTCTTCTCTATGTCATGTTGACATGTTAATATTTGGCAGGGATAATCAACACTTAGGAATATTATACATATAGTGCCCCACTGAAAAAAGGAATTTCTTTTCGAGCCACCCTGTATGACATTGGCATTTTCAGTTCGGAGAAGATTAGAAGGAGCATAATAATCATGTTCGTCTCCCTATTGATCAGTACCAATCAAGATGTTGAAGAGTGAGCATGTGCTGCTGCTGTTGCTTTCAATCATCGCGTCAGTTTCCGCTACTGGCAATGATACGATAGAATATGCAGGTGCCTTTTTGAAGCGTTTCGGCTACATAAATACAACGGATAATGCTGTCACCGATATAGAATCAGCATTAATGACATTTCAAGAGACATACAATCTCCCTGTGAGTGGATCGCTGAATAACGAAACTCTACGACTGCTGAATAGTCCGCGTTGTTCTGTAGGAGAAAATAATTTCATGATACATTCGAAATGGAACAAAACCAAGTTACGCTGGTATTTTCCTCAAGCTAAAAAGGTGCATCGTGATACAGCCAAGATGGCATTCGATAGGTGGGAGGAAATATCGAATTTGAAGTTTGAAAATGTGCAAAACCCTTACAGGAAAAAGCCTGATATTACCATAACTGTTATTCGAAAAAATCACAATTTCCGAGCAGACTGCCAAGGCACTTCCAAGTGTCCACATAATTTCGACGGCCCTGGAAAAGTTTCAGCTCATGCATATTTCCCAAATGAAAACAACAAATGTGTCGAGATTCATCTTGATGCAGAAGAAAAATGGTATCTTGGAAATAGTACTTCTCCTGATGGCCAAACTAATTTATTGATGGTCCTGATTCACGAAATTGGCCATGCTCTTGGGCTGGGCCACAGTGGCGTCAATACAGCTATTATGTATCCTTGGTATCAAGCAAGTCCAGCATCATTCGATATAGATGATAAGAGGGCGATAGAATATTTGTATGGGCAGAAAACTGAAAACTATCAACCAACAACAACCTCAACAACACAGACAACCGAATCCCAAAAACCAATATCCCAGCACACCTCTACCACAGCTTCATCAGTGTCGTCAAATGAGCCCCATAACGTAGACGTTACTAGCACAACCTCAAAGCCTCAGATAACTCCAACAAGATTATGCGACATTCAAGTGCCAGACTTTATGTTTCTAGCCACAGCACCCCAGTTTCAAAATTATCGCATGTACGTGGGATACAATAGATTTTTGTGGAAGTTCGATTTGAACGATATGCGAATTCCACCACAGCCAGAGCTGCTTGATGATTATCTTCCTGAAGATTTAAAGTCTTCTCGAGTTTCACATGTTTTCCAAAATTCTGTGGGTAATCTAGTGACATTTATAAATGATAGCATGTATTATGCAGCATCTTTTCCGAATTTCCAAATCCACCAAAACTTTCGTTTTCCTTTGCCTTCTAAAGCAAAAATTAATGCTGTCTTCCAGACAAACAGTGGACAGGCTTATTTGTTATATAACAACGATTCTTACATTACATTTGATGACAATGGAGACATGAGCAACCGTGGGCCACTTAGTCACATCTTCCCAGGAATTCCAGCAGGCATAATATCAGCTTTTCGTTATATCGATGGAAATATATATTTTTTCGATAGAAATACGTACTACAAATATAGTGAATATACTAGACGGGTAGTGAAAGCCGAACCGTTCAGTTGGAGCGTCTTTGGAATATCCTGCCCCAATGATGGATTACTTCATCAATTGAAAACAATGTTAACAAGAATTATATCACTTTACGAATAAACGATTAAATACCATTTTGTTTTATTCCAATTGTCACATGTATGCTGTCTCAGTCACGAGTGTTCAGTATGATGTTCAGGCATGTGTGTTGAAAAAATGCATCAATTTTCGAGATATATAATATTAGCATGGAAATGCCGACCTCAACTAAATTGTTCAAATAAATTGTCGATGTTCATTAAAATGTATGTAGACGTTTGGAGGAGTGACTCTCACGATTTTATTGCACTAAATAAAATACCTACTTTGTTTTTCAAAAACCCACCCTTCACACTTCATCAAGCTGTCTCCTCCTCCTCCTTGTACTTTCACAGACAGTAACACACCTTAGCGGTAGGGCTCGTAGGCTTCTCGTACAGGCAGCAACACACCTCATTGCCCTTCTATATGTCTTTTATTCCCCTTCTTGTTATTTCAATGGTGTCGTGGCCCTCTTCTGTTGTACGGTGCTGGTTGGAAGTAACTGAAAGTGGTGAAACTGAAACATAATGTGAGTTGCAAGTGTTGTACAAATTCTCGAGAATCAAATAGGCCATCATTTTGAAAGAGGTGTGCGCATGCGTCACAAAAAAAAAAAAAACGTCACTCTATATGAGTGACAGGGCTAAGTGGTAGTATGACAGGCGTCAATGGCGGTGTGAATGGCAGTGTGGCGGAGCGGATGGCAGTGTGGCGGTGTGAATAGCGTAGTGGCGGTGTGAATGGCGGTGTGACGGTGGGAATGGCGGTGGGACTGTGTGAATGGCGGTGTGAATGGTAGTGTGGAGGTGTGCATGGCTGTGTGAATGGCGGTGTGAATGGTGTGACGGTATGGTTAGTGTCGGGTTTATAAAGATGTCAGTTGTTGTCCTGACTTCATACTGTTAACATCATAGTAGGAAGAAAAATATATCACGTCTTGAGATGTTTGCTTGTCAGCAATGCAGCAAGAAATTCAAGTGGGCCTATGGATTGAAGCGGCATATGGATAGTCATGACGAAAAAGTTTTCAATTGTCATTATTGTGTGGACAAATTCACAAGATTGGATAGCATGAAAAAACATTTGGCGAGAAAGCACAAAGGGAACGACCTGGTTAATCCCCAAAACGAATCGATCACCACTGATCAACGAAATGAGTCGAACTCCATTGATAGTGATCACCAATTATTGTCCCAAAGTCAGTCGAATTCTGAGATTGGTCAGCAGTTGAGTCAAAATGATGCTATCACGGATGATCCTTGTGAGAATGAAATCGAAGATAGACATAAAAAAATTGTGGACTTAGCTGAAATTGTGAGAAATAAATATTTGGCGCTTGAACAACTGGCTGACGTTAAAGTACCTATGAAGCGTTCAAATTCAACATGTCTGAAGATGATCAAGCCGAGTAAGGAATCGCGTCCTGTCAAGTATTCATCTCACATTCAGAATGGCCATAAAAGTACTCGGTATTCACCAAGAGATGACAGTAGCTTCGACATTCTGAGGAGAGGTGGAATAATAAGAGGAGGAAGCTCCAGGAAAGCAGATGAAATAAAATTAGAGCATAGATTGTGTAGAGGTCTTTTGGTATTTTAGTTGAAATAAATAGTATTTCTTTGAATCTCGTTTAATTTTTATTAATACAGAACTGAAACATGAAATGGGTACTCAGTAAAGTGTCTGAGGCCTGATAGCATCTAGCAATTGTTGACATCTAATAACAAAATTGATGTCACGATGACAATATTGGTGATCATTATCCTAATGAAAAAATTCCCCTCTGGGTCATTAAATTGACACCTATATTCTCAACATATAGAGCAAAACCATGCGCATACTTACTTGAGCAATGATTTTCAACGACGTTTGCTTGTCTTCTGTTTTACGATCAATTGTGCATAAATCTGACATGGTTGGCTACTGCTGGCTTACTGTTCTCTCATCATCATCATGCATCCGATACTTCAACAGCTGGTCCTCCGTTTCACCAATGAGATGTAATCTGAAACTGCAGTAGAGCATGAGACGCAAGGTCTCAGTATGTGTACAAATAAAGTTCATTATAATATGAAAATATTTCAAGGTTTAGATGGAAAAATCCGCCACTGGGGTTGGGACCCAGTCTTGGACAGCTCTTTTCATCCTCCACTAAAACCCCCACTGCTTCAATCTCGGATGAATGAAGAGCAAACCCATCGTTAATCCTTTTGAAAATATTTCCACAATAATGATATTATTCAGGTCATATATGTATGTATAAATGGAAAACTAGTTGGTTTTGCGAAAATGCAACAACAACAAAAAAAGTAGAGGATTGAGCCTCAAATACCAAAATGGGATATTTTCAGGCAGATTTCAATAGCAGAGCTCAAAGGTGTTGGATGAATCAACAATTATTAGAGTTGTTATTTTTCTAGTTGTGAAAAAATGTCAGTGTTTGCCGACTTGGTGAAGAACATCGTTTCAATACTGGGCTTCGTTACATCAAACCATGATGATCAAGAGATAAGAAGAGGTCTTCGCGAATGTCAGAAGAGGATTAAGCGAATAAAAAAAAAAAAATGCGATGAGATATGCGAAGAACTTGGGGAGCAACTTTCACTGTATAGATGGATGCTACTCGTTCATTTCTGGATATAGCTGTTTTCAATGAAATTGGTAAGTTGCTTAGTTTTCCTTAACTAGGAATCAGAATACATGTCAAGGATTATACTAGTAATCAGCAAATTTGGGGAAGGGCTTAGATGGGTGTTTTTTCCATCAGGTATGAGAATAACAAAAAATGGACTTTTCACTTAGGGGTTGGTCACACTGGGTTTTCTATATTGGGAATACTGATTTTGGTCATTTTGGTAATGAATAATAATCAATGATACTATTTTCATTTATTTTTCAATTTTGACATCTTCTAAATTAGTTTGTTTCTCAAGCTGGGTTGAGGATTACCACTAGACTGGACAACGACACTAATGATTTCAATATTGGATAATCAGATTCCGCCAATCACCATGGCTCAAAGCATATATTGATCTGAACACCAACCTCCGTAAACAAGCAAAGAATGAGTTTGAAAAAAACCTATTCAAACTCATGAACAATGCTGTTTTCGGAAAAACGATGGAGAACATTCGTAAGAGAGTCAACGTTAGGCTTTTAACGGAGTGGACGTGGAGATATGGTGCTGCTGTATTCACAGGCGATTGTTGATGTTGTTGCGAAGCTTGCGAAAAAGTGAGCATGTTCGTGATAGAACACATAAGATTGTGTGAGTCAAAGAACTCGAAACCTGTCTGTAGGTGTCTGGAACGCGGCCTGTGTTCTAGCGGGGTAGCGGGAGTGCGATGGCATGACATCATCAGTGACAGGGTGTTTGAGTTGATTGAAAATTAAAAATTATATATACAGGGTGTCCCACGGTTAGACCACCCCACTTTAGGGGTAAATATTGAAGGATTGGGGAGTGTGGGTACTCTGAGAGAAGGATTTTTCGCGAACATTCCAAAAATGGCAACTTGCCTATATCTTTACAAAATTCCTGTGTATGTGACTAAGTTCGGACCGTTGAAAGCCAGTTACAACTATGAACCAGTTGCTGAAACAAATACATCTGGAGAGTGGTCTGGTCGCACAACAGTAGAAATATAACTATTACATGTTTCTCCCGAGCCGTCACAAAAACGGAAATGGAACAGAGCGTTCCAGTCGGATCGACACCCAACTAGGAAGTTAGTTACGCTGAATAAGCTGAGTCCTAAGAACTCGAAACCGGTCTGTAGGTGTCTGGAGCGGGGTCTGGCTAGGTCAAAATCAATTGGCATTCAGGAAAGAAACACTTGTATCGGTATTCGTTTATACGAGTCGAAGCTCTTATCGGTAATTTCAAAGTTGACGGATATTACGAAGAAAAAAAACAAATATACGAGTTTCAGGGTTGCTATTACCACGGTTGCCCTCGTTGTTTTAATCATCAGAGAGATGCACCTCTCAAAGACAGTCCTTCTGAAACTTTAAATCTCCGTTATGACACGACCATTGCCAAAATCGATAAAATCAGATCCATGGGATATGAGGTCATCGAAAAATGGGAGTGTGATTTTCGTAAAGAACTGTGCAATAACGAGGAACTGAACACACAAAAAAAAAAAAAAGTAAAAAACAGCAACTAATAATACTAAAAGAAAAACGCCGGTGAAAAATAACGCCAAGGCGGCTGTAAAAATAAGTAGGATCATAACAACAATGGACTTTTCACCAGGGTTGGGCTGATTTAAATCAAGTGATTTTTTTTTTGTTTAAATCACAATTTAAATCAAAATATTAATTTCGAGAACATTTATTATTTATTTGAATAATAAAAATATGAAACTGAAATAAAATAGTAAAACCCCTAAAAACGGGATATTGAAACATATACATATGTATATCTTAATCATACTATACATTATTTTATAATCATAAGTTTTCTGACATTGAAACTAACATAGAACATTTAAATTTTCATTATATTATTTAAACATAAGATCGTTCCAGAAGACATAGTACACATACCTGTTACGATGTTACCTGGACTTTATCAACTTCAAGCCACTGAAC